TGTTTGTGATGAATGTGGGACGATACAGTTGAAGACAAACTGTGTATAAAGATGCAACTGCATACCGGGTGGTTAACTCGTTGAAGTACACGGAACATGAAAACANCTAAGGCATNAAGTGAATATGGATTTGAATCGGTTCCTGTGCATTCACAAGGGGCAAAAACTTAATAACAAAAATCGCAGAGAATACAGAAGATGAGCCAAGGNAGTCAACNGAACAAACAATACTTATTGCTTTTTTAANCCAAGTACAAATTTCCAACTATAATCATCNGCAAGAAAATTGAGTATCATGNTTAGATATGAATCAAATCCTTTCATTGNTAAAACGTTTGCAGGGCCATCCAATTAATCAAAAGGTCAAGTATTATGGAATAATCCNAATATGACCANAATAGCAAGCACACAAGAAGATTGTTACTAGAAAAAATCATCAAAGAATGGATACATAGTCAAATACCTTCAGAATCAGGAACGACTGGAACTGCAGAAGCCCTACTTCTCCGGCACATGTCTTCAATCTAATAGGAAATACACAATATTGAGNTGAGACTTGTTANGACACAAAAAGTGGAAAGATATCANGTCAGCGACTTAATATTGATATGGAATACTCTCGAAAGATAGATAGCTAGGCTTCCACAATACAAACTATGCGTGCATATATATATTAAAGACAGGTTAATTCGAATTTTTTTCCTCAGTAAACCAAGTACTAGTGTCATGGATTTAAAATTATATATATTAATAGCCATTAAGTAACAAAGCAACTGAATACCATTGCAACAATATTTGCAATGATTCTGATAAGAATCTACTCCGTAATAAGCCAAAGCCACTCTAAAAGGACCCATGGGTGGAGCTAACGTCGAAATGCTAGCTTATAATACTCATATCCAATCAATGTGAGATTGTAAAAGGTTCTCANCGTAGGATAAAGTACCTGTCTCCAGACNTCTTCATTTGGGGCATTTTTGTCAGCCAACATAATTGATTGTGGCTTTTTACGACGTTCATCAGCAACCTTTGGCCAATATTTTCCTGTCCAGTATGTAGAATACTTCATGAGATGGCATAGCAAAAGTGAGAGACCAGAACGATTTTGACAAAGTCCTACATTTTAAAATACCTTTGACAAGATCACCCATCAGAGTGTGCACCGGCCGATCATCTCCAAAGCCTCCTGG